GGAAGAAAGGACTTTACAAGGGTAGGCACCTAACAGCGGTGAAGCAGGCCGGGTTAGGCGGCGTACTGCGGCAGAATAGTGGGTCCAACGGAGCCGGATCTCGGTAACTGCTCCGGCGAAGCCGGAGATATCAATCCGGGCTCTAGTCCGTGACAATCAACCATCTCACCCATCGTGCCACCACTTCCTTGCACCAACAAGTCTTTGTGGGTTGTGGTGGACAATCTGGCGATCGCATGTACGTTCATTACATGATAAATCGCGGGGTAAGCCCACGATCACCGCTGCCGGGCGAATTCATGTTTTTTCCGGATAGCAAGGATTATGAAACCTCACGGGAAGTTGCCGAACACGAACTTCCTCTTGCCCTTTGGGCGTCCGACTTAGCAACAAGCATCTGCGTGCCCACACTGCTTGGGGACCTCATTCTGGCAAGACAGCAATGTTTCATAGGTGACCTCAAGAGCATCACTGCCGAAATCCTCAGCCTTGGGCCTGAAGCCGAGCATGCAGAAAAGCTCACACTGCCTTGCGTCCGCGTGAACGCCCAACTGAACCACACAGGAGGGTCTTCCGAACTTGCGGACTTTTCCAGGGGTGCTCGACACCAGAAGGAAGACATCGATAAGCTTTTGGAACTGTTGTTGGTAGAGCCGGGTACACTGAAGCACGACGTCGAACGATGGTTCTGCAGCCAGCCAGAGGGAATTCTGGATGAACACCAAAGCTTATCGCCCCACTGTACTGACAAGTACTCGAGCGCCTGTGTCTTCAATGTCGTTCAGAATCTCGTCAAGGGCGCCACCATCTGGGCATACATTGGTCATCTCTTGAGGGAGTTGCAACGTGTTGGCACCGAGAGCATATGTCGGCCTGTGCTTCTTCAAGAACTTTCTAACTCCTGCATGCTGGAATGGGCACGTTTGCAAGCAGTCTTGAAGCGCTTCATCTATCAAGGCTTCGGAATTGGTCATTTTCAACGCAAGTCAAACGCTTTCGATCAGCTCGGAAACCCTGTAATTGTCTTCAAGAATGACCCCACGGAAATCATCGACAGCGATTCTCAGCGATACCTACTGTTTCACCTTGCTCATGCATCCGAGAACCCAGCAGATGTTATTTACATGTTGGGCTACCTCGCTGGGTTGTGGAAGCAAGAGCCACAGACTTCAACTTTCTTGTACAATCCCCGCGATCATGAAAACAAGGCGTTTCACGAATTCGTCTCTGTCAATGATTACGTGAAAAAGCTCTCGGAATTATTGGGTCTACCGCCACCGTCCGGCACGGAAGGCTGTTCCTTTGTGTCAAAATGTCACACTCTGGAGATCGACTTTCTCAACAGTTTGAAAAGGGACAAGTTCATTGACTTGCGCGTCTACTGCGGCCCAATCGCCGTCCTTTTGAGAACTAGCATGGCCAAAGGCTGCCTCAACAAGCTTGATGAACTTGTCACTGACCGCATGGGTACAACTATTAGGGGCCTGTATGAAGACGTTCTCAGGGACTCCATCTCCGATCTTGATGCGCATTGCGAGCAGTTGAGAGTGTCATTTCGGCAAAAGAATGTCTCGGTGCCACTCAATTCTCCCCTCTCTGCTGAAGAGAGCACGCGACGTCGTGATACAAAGTCCGAAAGGTCGTACGGAATCGACCGAATGTCCTGCAACTCGGCAGGCTTAGCAGAGACCGATGAAAGACCTCAGATGCAACACCAGCTATTCAACAGCGAGCAAGTTTGTCCGGCTGCAAACAAGTCCTCCAAGCGACCGAATCGGAAGAATAAAAGCGACTGCCCAGCCAGTCCCAAAAGTCCTGATGCACGCAAAGGAGATGACAAGCATGTTGCGAGAAATGTCACCGTGGAAGCAGACACGCTGGGGTCTATGACATTCAAGGTCAAATCTTCCACTGCAGAATTCTTCTGGACACTATTCAGCAAGTCGAAAGCTCGCTCATCCACTAGCTGGAAATCATTTGAGGCGGCTATGGCCGATCTGGGATTCTCGATCATGCGCAACAAAGGTGGTTCATCTGTTGCCTTCGTCCCCTCGGAAGATTCACCACAGCTTCGTCCCGTGACGATTCACGCACCGCACCACTTCCAGATCGAAGGATACCGGAGTTTGATTCTATCTCGCCGATTGACGAGAGCCTACGGATGGGATGAAAACACTTTCCAAGTTTCCTAGGAGAGCGACTAACAAGTGTGAGGATTGCGGACGCGCCCGGTCTGATTGCTGTAGCTCGGAATGGTTGCTGTCGGCCCGCGGCCTAAACTTTGTCAATAACAACTTCCACTTGGAATCGTTCGGGTGAAGTTGATCCTTCTGGACTTCTGTTTCGTATTGGAATGTATGGATGTGTTGTAAAGCTTGCTTCTGTAACTCTCAGCAAGGGCTTTTTCGAAATGTCTTAAGAACGGAGCAGTGCATGGATGGAATACTACTCGATCTTGAGCTTCCTCTCGTTCTATTCATCTGTCGATGGCCTTGGACACTAGAAAAGAGTAAATGTACAGGGTTATCTCATGGCAAAACTATCATTCCTATTCACTTTGCTTCTCCTAGTCTCGGAACCTCTCTTCCCACCGCATCCCGCATGATTTCTTGGACCCAACTCGGCAGACCCCTGTTTCCGGATGCCCAAGACCACTGGTCTGGAATTATGAGCTGTCCACCTCGACAACTGAAGATTTGACCAGTCACCCTTTTTGCCACATCCTCTGGTTCCATCATACGCCCATAGGACTGTTCCACCCTCTCAGCGTGGGCCGTAGTCATATTCGTTCTGACCCACATTGGATGTACCACGGTGGTCAATATTCCAGATGCTTTGTATACATGCTTGATCTCACAGGAAAGACCCTCGCTGAATGCCAAAGCGCCAGCCTTGGTTGCGGAGTAGTCCACTGCGGTGGGCAAAGCTGAGTAGGATGCCATGCTTGCCACGGTGACAATGTGGCCCTTGTTTTTCATAATCATGTCGGGGATAAACTGCTTGGCTGTAGACCACAGAGAAAGGAGGTTGACGCCAAATATTCTCCGTAAGTCTTCCGGGTCGGTTTCGATGACAGAGTGAGTGTAGGCGACACCGGCATTGTTGACTACGATAGACGGATTGCCCAAAGAGGCCCGGATCTCCGTTGCGGTCGCTGATACGGCTTCTGGCGAGGTAATATCGCACTTCCAGTACTTGACTTTTTGATTGGAACGCAGATCTGCGGGCATTGGTTGAGTATCAAGTACCGCAACAGTAACTCCCTTCTGAGCGAGACCTATCACAATGGCCTTTCCAATTCCGTTACAGCCACCAGTCACGACCGCAATCTCATTTGCCCATCTCCAACCAGGATGACTGGTAAGGCGCCAGTTGTTCAAGGCCCATCGGTTCGCTGCTCTGTTTAGGTATCTAGCAATTCCTGCAACCAGAAGAATCTGTAATGGGAGTCGGTAGCGGACCACAAAATTTGCGGTCAGCAATTGGTGAAGTCTATTAAGACTTGGGGATCGCCGCAACATGTCGGGCGGTGAATAAGCAACGAAGGTGAGAAGGGACGCAGGAACAAGAGGATGAACAGCAACAGCCGCAATGCCGTTGATCGTCTTGAGGGTGGAGCTGAGGATGTCCGTCATTGTGATGAGAAGTTCGATAAGTAGAAGATCTTTGCAGACGCCACTTAATTCTCGGCAGACGGACTCTCATGGTCTTATACCTCACTGTTGCTGCGGCTCTTACCCGCAACAATTCATCTGTTCAAGTCAGATGGCGTCCGATAAAACTGGGCGGCCGTGCCACAGCTCCCGGAAACTTGTTGCTCTTTTCGTATTCTGAGACGTGACAGCGTGGTGGTCTCCCTGTACGACACACTTGCTCGTTTCTCCGATCAATCAATGTAGACTTGATATTAGATTACCAACCAACGGACTCGGGCTCGCGGAATTTCCGCTGTACAGAGTTGTACAACATGCCCATGAACAGAGCACTACCTTCCTCATCTTTCTCCGTTGAATACTGTCCACTTTCCTAGAATTAGAGCCACATGGTCATGAGGTGTGATCAGCAAGATCTCCGGGCGGCACGGGGGAGATCGACAACGCTAAACCCAAGTAGGAAGAATGTCTCCGGCGCATCCACTCCCCCGCGAAATTCACAGGGACAGGGTACGTGGCTAGGGACATGTTTAAGCCAACCCATTTCAGCACAACCGGGGTATCAGGCGGGTTCCATCCGGGAAGCTTTTATGTTTTTGTGAAACTCTATCGCCTCTCAGCCATCCAGCACGCGTACTTCAAGAGCTTGTTAATGCACGGCGAGCGATAGGAGGAGCATTGACCGAAAACTGGTCTGATCAGATCGTACATCAATCCTACTGAAGGGATCTCTTCCAGGGTCCAGCGATTGATCGATTGCAACAACCCTCTCTGATACAAGATGTGACTACTGCGCACAGCATTCGTATGGGAATTACAAACTCAAGGAACAATAGGCACCTGCAAGCTAACGTGGACCAGATCAAACCAGAGGCCCTGGAAGCCACCTCTCCGCGCTGCCCAAGCAAGATCAACGAAATTATCAAGGGCTGCCAGATGTTGGGGATGTGAGGCGAATAAGCCCAAGCCACGTATTATCCTACTGGCGCTTTCCCTCGTTTCAAGCATCGCCACCAGAAGAGGAAGTCCAACAGGAAGTCCTCTCATATCTTCAGGTGTTAAGTTGACGAATCCAGTCAACTCTGCGCAGATCATGTTGGCATGCCAGCGCGCAACAGCGTCCTCAACCCCCAGCGGATATCTAAGCCGATGTATGAGAAGTAAAGCGGCGGTTCGGTAAACGCGAGCTTGTGTAAGCATCGCAGCGACCTCAATTGAAGTAAAGTCTTCGAAAAGTGTGGGCGGTGCGGACGGCTCCCATGCCCGTATCGCTCGCTCTACGGCCGTAAAAGCGTCGTCCACTTCTGAAAGCCGTTCTTGACTCTGTTTTAGGAGGTCCTGGCTAGACCATGTCTTCATCCTCTCGCTAACTTCGCATAGTTCGTGCAACAGGGGGAGAAGGGACCAGCATAGACCCACCGACCTGTCGACAATAAAGCGATCGGTTTTTGGCACTTGAATAACAGGTATTTCCCGCCGTATCAATGACTCAGCTGTGTCGAACAGAATCGGCGTGATTGAGATCGGATCGAATATAGGCTGGGCAAGGAGGTCGCTGTAAGACTTTTTGGCCGACAGGATCGCATGTCGATTGATTGCCCAGGCTGACGTGCAAGTGGTGAAAAGATGATAGACAATCAGTATTTGGCCCAGCATCAAGATCGAGGCGTTGTCCAATAGGTCCGACGTGCTGCCGAACTGAACCAAATTCTTCAAACAGTCTCTGCCCTCGGATAGATCTATCTCCTCGGGTGGTTTAACTCTTTGACCAACATCATCCCACACCGCAAATACGGCATCGTATGCCTTCAGTAGGCTGATGTTCGAACAGGGGAGTATCGTCTGAATGGATAGTCTAAATGACTCGGCAAAACTGGGACCGATCATGAAGTTTCGATGAAAGGTGTAGAATATCTGTCGGTCTGTGAGGGCGTTGAGAAGATGATGCTTATTCGCCGAGCTGTGCAACAACACAAGAGGGTTCAGATTTCCCTGCTCCAGTCCAAGGTCGCGGGGACTTTGGAATTGAATGCTTTGTTTGTTATTCTGAGGTCTGGGGTAGCTCGGTTTGTGACTCGAGGGTATGTCAAGACCTAGTATGATCCCGCTGTGCCCATGGGGTAGATTCTTGACCACCGGGGGACGCCCCATGCGTCGCTCTGGCCTAGTGAGTCGACATGGCTGCTTGTGTGCAACGCAAAACTTGCAGAAGGTGGAATCTCCATCAAAGACGCACTTTTCTTTCTTATCGTAGCAGACGTCGCAGGCTGTTCGGGGCATATCAGGCTTGTAGTCTGCGCTTACGGATGGGTTCTGGTCATTTCGGCTACTGGTATTGAAAAAAGATAAAAAGCTGGAGCGGGGTTGTCATCTGAGCGGCAAAACACGGTCGGGGTAAAACAAATGCGAATGCGACTAATGCGAGTCGCGGCAAAACGAATAATGCGTTAAGTCGCTTCTCTAAAGCCCCGCCCGGAGAAGTGGCCGAGGCACCTCGGCCGTCCATCGTCACCTTGGGCAGTCCGATGTGAGGCGCTTTGACAGCTTCCGGCTGAAATATTTTTAGACCCTTGTTTTTCAGCATTTGCTCCAAAGCATGAAGGCGAGAACTATTACCCAAATGAGGGCGGGATTCTATGAACATACCAGGCTATCGCCAAGACAGGTTGCGGCTGGACCTCGCCGTGGTGCCGTGTATGATGTATCATAACGGCGTCCGCGGTTGCCGGAGATTCCCATATGCACGGAGCAACGGAACACCTCACATTCCCTTGAAGTGTACGTGTGCGGCCTCAGCTGGAACAAAAGGGGGGATATTGATTGAAAAGAGAGCGAAGCAAGAAGTCTCCTGCCCAGTTGTGCATGTTGCATGCGCGGACGGAGTTACATCGTGACGGGTTTTCACTATGCGACAGATATTTTTCAAACACCAACGTATGGGAAGTTTCCGTCACTTCTGTACATTCCGGCAGTTTCCTGGTTATGCAGGGTAATTGCGCATCATTGACGTAAACCAAGTTTACTGTCTCACGCCGGTGTTGTGGGACGGAGCAACAGTCAACACGATGCTGAATCAAGCCGATGAGTTTTCTTCCAAGACTCACTGGCAATGAAAGGCCAGCGGAGCTTGGCGGACTTCAAAGCCCGAAGAAATGGCACGGAGTTTCCGACAGTGCCAGTAGCCCCGCTTCCGACGCAGGCGGTTTACCGGAGACTATTGTCCCGTTCAGGAAGTCGTCCCATCTCCAGCTTGCTGGGGTGCTGAAACCCGAGGCTGCAGGATGAAATTCCAATGTACATGAGCCGTTGCACGTGTCCAAGTCTGCTCCGACGTTTCCCATTATCGAGTGCTTCCAGCAACGTTAATCGAGTATATAAACCCAAGTTGGTGATCAAAAGGTCCATCTAATTCCTCCCTACGCAGACTTTATTCGTCCGGTGCAATTTCCCAACAAAAGAGTCATGGATGCCGCTCTTAGTAAAGCAGAGCTCGCCACTGCGGGCGATATCTTTGACGTCATCATCATCGGTGCCGGCATATCTGGTATCAACACAGCATACTACCTCCAGGCCCACGGGCCTCCAGGGGCTTCATACGCCATTCTCGAAGGGCGTGGCGAAATTGGCGGAACCTGGGATCTCTTTCGCTACCCTGGAATACGATCAGATTCCGATATCTATACCTTCGGGTTCTCATGGAATCCATGGAAAGGCGACGACCCTCTAGCCAGCGGCCCATCCATCATGTCTTACCTGCACGAGTCGGTGTCGAAGTATGGTATCGACAAAAATATCAAGTTTCACCACCAAGTCATCTCGGCAGACTGGCAGTCATCAGAGTCGCTATGGAAATTACAAACAACTGGGCACGGTGAAAAGATCAATTGTTTCAAGGCCCGTTTCGTCGTCCTAGGTACCGGTTACTACGATTATGAGCAACCGCTGGCTGCGGAGATCCCTGGCATCAAAAACTTCACAGGCCCAGTCGTTCATCCACAGTTCTGGCCCGAAGATCTTGATTACCGGAACAAGCACGTGGTCATCATTGGAAGTGGAGCGACTGCGGTGACATTGCTACCAAACATGGCCACGGAGGCCAGTCGAACGACAATGCTTCAGCGAAGCCCAACCTACATTACGGGGCTGCCAACCCAGAAGAGCCTTCCCAGCAGGCTAATGCTGTCTGTACTTCCAAGGAGTATCTCAAGCCGAATTCTGAGAGTTCAATTCATCTTGCTCGGTTACCTGCTTTATTACTATTGTCAGCTATTCCCTCAGTCAGCACGGAAAGCTTTACTGGGACGCGCTGCCAAGGAGCTGCCCCCTTCAATTCCTATGGATCCGAACTTCAGTCCCAGATACAACCCCTGGCAGCAACGTCTTTGTGTGTGTCCAGACGCTGATTTCTTCGCGGCGTTACGCTCTGGGAAGGCAGACGTCGTAACCGACATCATTGACGTGGTGACCAACAACGAAATTGTGTTGAAGTCTGGAAGAATTCTCAAGCCAGACATCATTATCACCGCAACTGGGCTCAAAATACGGTTCGCTGGCGCGATCTCCCTTTCTGTCAACGGAAACCCCGTGGATCCGAACCAGAAGTTCGGGTTCAAGGGCTGCATGCTCCAAGACGTGCCCAACTTGGCATATGTGTTCGGATATGCCAATGCATCTTGGACTTTGGGTGCCGAAGCTACAAGTTCATACCTGGTTCGTCTTTGGCGGAGCATGAGATCGAATGGCATCCACTCCGTTACACCGTATACTGCGGATGCCAACAACATGAAGCCCAAGCCTGTCATGAGTCTCACCTCAACATATGTCAGACATGCAACCAAGGTATTTCCCAAAGCTGGAGATGGACTGTGGGCTGCAAGAAAATTCTATATGCTTGATCTCTGGCGGGCTATGTTTGGGAATATCTTTGCCGGATTGAAAGTCGCATAGGAAACTGGCTGGGGCTGACGATACCTCAAGTCTGCTGTGCGACCTTTATTGCCGAAGAATCTTGGTCTATTGCCAAACCTCTGGGCATTCTTTGTGTATTAGACAATTGATCTCTATGGACTAAATATAACCGTCTCCTTTCTTTTACCTGTTCGTGCCCTTCACTGTGACGAGCTCTGTATCGTGTGTTTCATCTCTTGATATGCCTCACCTCTCACCTCTCGAGCGTAACACCATTCAGCACTTTTCCTTTCAGAAAAACCATAACTATCTATATTTGCCAGTTGAATGTTGATCGCCGTGTCAGCAGGCTCCAAGTTCGGTTGTGTAATCGGGCAACCTTTGATTTGTTGCATAAAGCTTGTTACTTGCAATATTACTTGACCACTGTAGATACAGCAGTCAGCGTCGTGATTTCAATATTCTCTATCTTTCTGACTGCCGCTCATGTTCTATGAAACTTCTAGCTTAACTTTGGTTTTCATTATGTATGATTAGGTCCATAATCCGGTAGGGCATCTCAAGATTGTGATGGGCAAATCCCCAGCTGGCAATGTGGGCCAACCTCGGCGTCCAAGTCAATTTTCTATGTTTTTAAATCCAATTACAACGCAAATAAAATAAGTTTGCAGAACTATTGCGGGCCCGTCACAAGCGCAGTCACATCTTTCTCATTCTTTTCAATCCTGAGGGCACAGCCATGATGGTAATGATCGTTTTTCTTCCGTCTGGATGGGCCGACGTTCGGTTGCATGTTGGATCCACTCACTAGAGTGCTAACTTCAGGGGTGTTTTTTGGGTCTTGCTCCTGATTCGCTTGATTTCGCTTGATAGCCTAAGATTCTGTTGGAGGCCTGCATGTTGTCGTGGCATTTGAATGCGCCATGCCGGTGTAAGTACCTTCTTGTGGACGTCTCCGACTGAGAATCCTTGCTCTCTGCAGCAATTACTGCACAGAAATCTTATAAAACTGCTTGGACTTGACCAAGGCGGCAGATTCTTTTCCTTTCTATTCCTTCAGCACAAAGGACTAATGTCAACACGTGCTTCTATACGTCCGACATTGTCCCTCTTCGATATGGGTATCGGATACGATGTCGGAGGCAAAGTTGCATTGGTCACCGGCGCAGGATCAGGTCAGTATGGATCCTCTCTTCGTTGAGGCGTTGGTTCAGACATGTATTCCCAAGCCTTCAAGCATTCAAGTATACTGATACAAACTCCCTGTTGCCTGATAGGAATCGGCCTCGACATTGCCCAAAGACTTCTTGCGCACGGCTGCTCAGTGATTTTTGCAGGCTTGAATCTACGTGGAGAAGCTACGGATACTATTTCCAAGTTTCCCCATCCACCAGCTGACGCCGTTCACCCCTCAGCTGTCTTTCACAAGACAGACATAACCAACTGGTCTGATTTAACTTCGCTCTGGACAACATCAGTGGACACCTTCGGTCGTGTCAATATAGTCATCAACAATGCAGGCATTTTTGAGCCTCCTTGGTCATCCTTTTGGAACCCGCCGGGGATTTCTCCACAGTCCAGAGACCCTGTCGACGCTACAGTGGGATCATACCACATTTTCAATGTCAATACCATAGGTCCCATCCGCCTAGCACAGATGGCGGTGGACTATTGGCTGCAAAACAGGGACAGAGAAGGCAACCTGCTCTGGGTTTCTAGCATGGGAGGTTACATCCACTCAATCCAGACACCATTCTACTTTGCGAGCAAGGCTGCCATCCTGAGTGTGGTCAAATCATTGCAAGGTTTGAAGGAGCTTGTTGGTATTAGGAGCTCGGTGATCTGCCCAGGGCCAACAAGAGTATGTCGCTTATTATGATGCTGTTATATCCGAAGGATAAACAACCAACTTTGCGCAATTGCTAATTTCCTGATCTAACTGGTCTAGACTCCCTTGTTCGACCAGGAATTTTGCAGAGATCGTCTCCCTGTCAATGATCTTGCTTTATCAACTGAGAATCTAGCTGATGCTATGATGAAACTTCTTACCGAAGAGCAGTATGGCAACGGAAATATCCTCGAGATTATGATGACTGGTAGTAGAGATCATCCTCAGGTTCATCAGAACGAGGTTCAGCTGGAAGTTCTTTATCCGACAGCTAGTCCCATGGGTGCAGGCACAAAAGCCATGGAAGAGGAACTGAATTTCATGCGAATGGTTGCCCAGCAGGGAATGCGTTCAACCTGCGCACCGGAAGGAAAACATTGCCAGAAGGCCAAACTACTATCTGAGAAAAATGCCAACTACGACTGTGATTGATCTCTCAATTTTAGACTGCCACCCAAAACTGTCCTGTTCTCTTCTTGAAACTCTGATTCCTCTCCGATTCAACACACAGGTGTTGGCACTTAATCTTTTCTCCGCGTGAAGGTACGGGATGCACCGGGAGCCCGTGTGTTATACTCCGTCTCGTTGATCTGTCACTCGCGCTTTTCCGATCGGTAATATTCCGCGTAAGTCTTCTTGTACCCCAGAATCCAACGTCCCCAAAACGCCACAGCAGTCAGAAGTATTCTACTGGCAATTCTTCCGAAGGGTTGCCAAGAAATCGGCACGGCAAGTGGTGTGTCCGCACTATGGAGGAACACAAACAGCTGAAAGACGCTGGGTTGCATTCCAGCACTTTTGCAGTCGTCTAAATATCCGAAGAAGTTGCGGAAGAATCTTTGCTCATTTTCATAGGATTCCGGTGTCAAGTGAATGTCCACAACAAGATCCTCAGACTTGCTTGCGTTCTCGAACCGGTGATAGGTGCCGGCTTTGACGGAAGCTGTTGTTTGGCCATCGGGCTCATCCGACAAGGTGACGAATGGCTTAGGGTCCACTCCTCGGAAAAAGTTCCCTTTCCCAGATTGAAGCCGGAAGAATTCATCTTGGTATATATGATAGTGAAACGGCGGCTGTATTATGGATACTCCATTCTCCTGGGTTGTCGGCGGTAAACGATGCGTCATGATGTACTCCGATCCAGGTGCGGAGAATGAAACAGACGACCGTCCATTCTCATAGAATATCGGATTGTTGGTCGCACTATTTGTACGTGGCGGGTGAGGGGGTCTCATGAAGGACAGCATCGTGCTGGTAACAAAGTGGCTTGGTTGGCGGCTGGCTCCTGGAGCATCAAAGAAATACGGTCGGGATCAAAAGCGTCCTTTTAGAGTTGTCCAAAAAACGGCGTTTGCGGGGTTTCCCTCAGCCGATACTCGACCAATCAGACAAGCTCGTGTTCAATTGGCGGAAATTCCGAATGTTCGGAATTGTACTGATGTTGGGGAGTGATCGTCACAGACGGAATTAGACCGCGGGTTTGCGGAAGTGCGGAATTACGGGGCTATGATCATGGGATCAAAGAAGTCTGCCGAAGAGAAGACTTGGAATGGACATTTGACTCCGTTTATATTCAACAATCGGAAAAATCTCGCATGCTGCTGAAACCAATTGATGACGGACAAAATTACTATTACATGAACATATTGAGCTTCCGGATGTATCGACATGAGGGAGTGGACAACTCAGACTGAGTTCCATGGGTTGGGATACCCAGGGTCTGTAATGTTAACCCTGACGACCGGGCTGAGCCAGCTGTCATAATCGCTCGAGTCGTTGATATCTCCACCCCATCTCAATGCTCGAACAAGAACACGATAGTCTGCATTAGGGAGTTGGTATAAAGTTCCATTAGCCAACTCGACCTCGGCCCAAGTCCATTCGGTACCGTAAACGCTGTAGCCACGGAACAGGATTGACGTAGTATACTTAGGCTTGTCACCGCCGTACATAGAGCCAATCAGGCCGTAGCTCTTGACCCCAGCGAAGTTGTCGAGCGAGTTGAGATCCAAAGGCGGTTGCAGGGTGGTGGTGTTAGTGAAGGAAGTCGAGTTCGAGGGTCCTCCGGGAATGTAACCAAGAGATGAAGGTGTGAAGTTGTAGGCGGGATTCGAAGCAAGATCAACAGGAACAGCATCCAAGCGAACGTATGCGGAGGGCTGGTTGATGAAGAGAGTAATGATAGGGTTGTTGTCAGCCGGACGTGTCTCGTTTTCTGGGACGTCCTTGGCCGGAAAGTTGAAGACCATCCTGTCGTTGTTACGAACGCCAGTATCCCCTGCACTGATAAAGGGAAGTGTAGGGATTCCCGCTGGGGGCTGCAGCTCTGGCGATAGGTTCGGGACATCGCCCGTATAAATATTCGGCTGAGTGCTTCGGGCATACGGGATACCGATATAAGGAAGGACGAACTCTTCGTCATCATCAGTGATTGTGATGAAGCCGCTGTACACAGGCAGCAGGCTAGGGTCAATTTCAGGAGGTTGAATTTCGAACTCGACCGTAGCTTTGCCGCCAGAGGGAATTGTCAGAGATTTCTTGCTGAAGGAAACGTTGGCATAGATCGAGTTGAAGTTGAGTGACCAGTAGAACATATCGTTGACGTCAAGAGTCTTGGCCTTGGGGAGTGCATCAACTTCGGCGGCACCCTGATGGTCAATCGAGTACGTCTTGGCCTGGGCAGACTGATTCTCAATCGTGAAGTTCTGCTTGGCGGGTTTGGCAGTATCTCCAAGGTTGAACTCCGTGGTCGAAAACACTGTCTCGGTTGAGACTGCCTTCAAAATATTGACCAGACCCGATCCTTGTTGGGCCGCCGTTGTCAAGATTCCGCCCCCTTCGTACTGGTTCAGAGGAGTTGCGGATGATTGCAGGCGTCTCGCAATCTCTTTCGGAGAGAGGCTAGGGAACTTCTGCTTCAGAAGAGCATAGCATCCAGCAAGACTGAGAAACAGTTAGCATATATCCAGACCATGTTGAAGAGTAACATACTGAGGGGTGGCCATCGAAGTGCCAGAGATGATCGCATAGCCCCAACCGTTGGAAGTGACCCAGGTGCTGAGAATAGTGCCCCCCGGTGCCGAAACCTGTGGCTTCAATGACATCTCCATAGTGGGACCAAAAGTTGAGAACCATGAAGTCGTGTTTCCGGTTGGTTGCGGGATTTGATGAACGCTCTGGTCTTTGAAAGTCAAAGTGTAGTTTCTTCCTTGTTCTGCAATACCTGCCAGGATCTTGTCTGACTCAGACTTCTTGATTCTCACAATGTCCACGTCCCCGTTAGCCCCCGGAGAGTCGATTTCAACGTCGCTGGTGTCAGGCAACCACTCCCAGACATTTTTGAAGCCAGAAGAATTGGTGCGCACGTCAAGGTCGAGAGTACAGCTGCTGCCTGAGCTAATCAGTACGATGACATTGTCCTTCTCTGGAAATGCAGCGATCGCGTCAGTCCATGCCTGGTCCACACAGTTCTGTTGATCGTCGTCTGCGTGAAAAACATTGTAACGAGCGGACGCATTGATAGGAACCACTCGAGCGTACTCGATCGTTGAGTCATCTGAGCCAACAGCGTTGTACATCGTCGTGAAGACCACGTCGCTGACAGAGCCGACCGAGATAACGCTGGCGTCCTGGGCGGGAGCAGAAGACAGATAGATACCCTGATCTCCCTCGTTGCCAGCAGCCACTGTCATGCCGATACCTTGAGCTTGAATCTTTGCAAGAAGAGGAACGTAAGGTGACCCAGTCTCCCAGACAGCGGTCTCTCCAATAGACATGCTGATGAGATCGACACCATCGCTTGCTGCCTTTTCGAATCCCTGCATCAGGATGTCATCGGTCGTGCCTCCGGTGCAGCCCAAAACTCGGTAGGCATACAACGATGCGTCAGGAGCGACTCCGACAATTCCAAAGCCAACTCCGTCAGGATCCCTAGCAGCGATGATTCCTGTGCAGTATCAGACACCAAGTCCGGTGTTGTGAAGACATTTAAGCTTACCAGCAACATGAGTTCCATGACCTCCATCAAGACAAGTTGTCAACGGATCATCATCGGGCACCGGATCGTTGTATCCCACAAAATCATCCCCGACCAGATCGTAGCCTCCTGAAACCTTGAAGCCAGCTCCAAAGCCGCCTCCGAGAGCTGGATGACGATAATCAACTCCAGTATCCAAGACTCCAATTTTGACGCCTTTGCCAGTAACTCCTAGGCCGTGAACTTTATCGGCACCTGTCATCTTCAGGCTAGAAAGAACATCGCTGGTCCCGTTCACTGTCGCAACTTGCGCAACGTCTCGCAAATGAATAGGCTGGACTCCGACCGGAACGTATTCATTGGGAGCTTTGGAGCTTCTGCCGTGAATCACAGGGGCGGGGCGTTCATAGTATCGGTTGGGCCAGACCTGTTTGACTTGCGGCAAAGCCAAAAGAGTGGTGATGTCCGTATCATTTTTGGCGTTGATCGAGAGTCCATAGAAATATTCCGGGTTTCTGAATTCATGTCGGACCGAATAGTCCAGCACGTCTTCAGCTCGGCGATGGAACGCAGAATGAGCATCAACTTCAATGCCATCGGCAGCTCGACCATTGATAGAGGCAGCGGTTGGCTCCAACTCAATGATGAAGCCATGGCTCGGAGGAGGTGTGATCTTCGTAGCTGATCCGGGCTTCAAAACCGCCAGTCCTGGCGTAGCCAGGGCGGCGGCAATAGCCAAAGCCTGCAGTGCGAACTTCATAATGAAAACAAGTAAGAGAGTGTGGTGGTTGCAACATGAAAGACAAAGTACGCAAGAAAATAGGAAAAACGATACAGAGCGAAGGCTATGATAAGTAGGACCTGCCTGTCAAACGTTCTCTCGTGTAATCAGTTGAGCGCTCTCGGCAATGAGGTGTCGGCCGAGTCCAAGGCGTGATTCACGATAAGGATGGCGATATGAATCTGCAATTTGCTCAGATTATCTCGAGGTCCTTTTGTGTTTCAATATCAGGGTAGCCACTAACCTAGGTAGTATCGGGTAGGTGTTGTAGATTTCCGATCGCCCGGCAATCTACATCGCTGAGGCTTGAAAGCTTGATTAAGCCTGTGAGACGAGGAAGACCACGGCATCGAGTCATTTCTATAAGCCCACCAATTGAAGAGCTCATACCACAACCTCGTATTCTTCCAAAGACGGGGACAATCAATGATGCGTGGTACATCCTCGCATGTTTGGTCGAATTAGGAAGGTCGGTGGTGGATACCTCGAAATGAACACTGCTATCGCCCCCAAACTTTATTGCCGCCGACATTCACGATATTTTGGGGGTCGTGTTCGATCGATTATTCCACAGCAGCATGAGCGATGCAAAACTTGACGTATTTAATCGACGCAATGATTAGAACTAGGAAAGAAACATGTAACATCTGGTTTACTCTGGTTATATCTGCATACCTATCATCAATTGGTTAAATAGATCTGCTATGCGCCAAGGTGTTTAGAGGCGTGGCTGACTGTGAATGCCATCGTAACTTTCTTGAACACTGTATATGATTACATTAAGACCATAGGTGTAGGATTGATCATAGAGGTTTCTCAGTTCGCAGCCAGCCTCATCAAGTCTTCTGCATAGTGATTCAATACTTGTTTCCAGAAAGCGTCCTGCCAGGTGGGGGGCCTGCAGCAGGTCGCGCTTTCCACCTGAAGGGTTGTAAAAAGTGCAATGAACTGTTACGGTCAGCTATCCGACAGTAGGGTCTGCTAACAGAAGTTGGGGATTGACGTTAAAACAGTACACTGGGGTCGTGGTCGTAGGTCGTAGGCTGTAGTAGATCAAGTCTTCAGAGGCTAAGGTGATCAGTCTTAGAC